AATATATATATATATATATATATATATATATATATATATATATATATATATATATATATATATATATATATATATATATATATATATATATATATATATATATATATATATATATATATATATAAATATTGGATGTATTTATCTATATTGAAAATCTTTACATGGATTCATTTGTTTATATCCTGGACATGATTATGGCACTCGACAGACAATAGCTTTTTTTTTGCCTTCGAGTGTTCACTTCCCTTTATGAATTACATAAGCATAACGAACAGTAGCACACATACGACGCTGACTTATTATACAGCCACAGACATATCTACTGGTGAAGCAATCCTCCTTGTGCGGTATCTCCTGTTTTAAATCCATACCTATTTCTGCTATCAAATGAGCCTTTTTCGTGAGGTAATGCCAGCCCTCAACTGATCCTTCTTGTCTGAGCTTCTTCAGTGGCAGAGTCATGTAGCACAGTTTATCTATGCCGATAAAGTCTTTATCTTTCACACACACCACAAACTCCTGGGCTGGGTCATTGAGGTCTACTTGTACGTGGTACTCTTCATTCTGATTGGTAGTGTACGAAGAGTATGTTGTTGGTATGGCTCGAGGTGGCCTTTAGTGCAAGATATTTTGAACTCTGGTTCGTATCCTATACATAATAGAATTCACATATAGGATATTTCTTTTGTGAGATATTACTCGATGGTCTATTTCCCTTATAAGTCATTCTTCGACCCTGCTATAAGTGAATACCAGAATATACTCGATGATCGAGTGGTGGGTGCTTTGTAGAATAACAGATACATATACAGCCTTGTTATTATTGGTTGGTAAGGAGTATTTCAAATATGAAGCGTACGCCATATACATATTTCTACGTGCCAAGAGGTTGATAGGTGATTACTACTACGTTAACTTAAAGCAGTAATACCAACACATAATTGAAACGAAGCCTGCAGTGCATAGAACTGTTATGTCAATATGTGCAGGACGAAATATGGACGATATGAAGAGCACGTAATTTAGGATAATTATGCCATGCGCAATTGAGCATCTGCCCGCAACATTTGCTTGTAATACACAATAAAAATAGAAAACATTAATCCGGGTAGTATATACCATGCAAGTTCTGATTGTGATCCACAGTCCAGATATGTCTGTAGACAATCACACTATCGCAAAACATACTATAGCTCAAATACTACATACCCATTCCGGATCGAGTGTTTTGAACTTCACAGAAGTCTTCACTATGCGTTTCTTGCCCAAATCAATAGTAACGTACGGGTCTGACAGACCATTGGCGTCACCTATGGGTAGACTTTCACCTGCTTTGACTATAAATGTGACCCATTTCATCAGCGGTGGAGCGGCACGTATATTTTCATGTGAGTGATTATGCGATGCAGCCTTCCGTGAGTTAGAGTGTTGTTTACCTACGACTTCCATGGTGCTTATGTTCCAACCGGTAAGATGTTTAAGTGTGTATGTGTTGTGTGTATGCGTTGTGTGTATGTGCTGTGTGTACGTGTGTATTTGTATATGTGTTTTCTTGCATGTTTAAATGTGGATATGATGCGCTGTGTCGAGTATAAATGGCTTTGACGTGTGTGTAGTGTGTAATGTGTACGGAAGAAGTTGTTCTGGGAAGAATATGAACCATCACACGTTTCTTTCTTCAGCCGAACAAGTCATCCATATGTATTTATTTTCCTATTTATATTTATATGCCCTATTTGATTTTGTGCAGAAAGTATCGGTGCATTGCTGTTTTTTTTTTTTGGAATATATTTTCTATGTAAAAATATATCATACCCTCCCCTAAAATAAAATAAACAGAATCTGGCTGGGGCCTGGGGGCGGGGGCGGGGGCTGTCTCTGAAGTCTGAGGTAAGACTGACGTCTGACTGTCTGACCGACTGACTGACTGAGGAACTTCGGACTTTGAAGTGTGGAGTGATTGGACTACATATGGTATTATTTTTTTACTATATATTTAGCAAGGGAGTCATCGGATAGTATGGACTATGGTATCGGGGAGTTTTTTTTAAAATAGGTAAATGTAAAGTTGTAAAAGTTGTCCAGCAATTTGAGAACGTCATCGATTGGTCATCCCCTACCCCCAGGAATGTACATAGTAATTTTAGGCAGCATTAGTGAATCGGTCAAATCAGTGAAATTCAAATCACAGCCGAGATCAGTCCAATCTATTTCTTGTGCCGAGAGCCTGAGACAGATGAGAAACTGAGACTTGCGACCTGTGAGGCCGGTGAGACTCTCAGTGGTGAACTGGTGATCACTGAATAGTGGATACATACTGATCAGTCAAAAATCAAATTGCAAAACTGCATTCTTATAAAATCACGACTCCACGTCGCACGGGTGAGGAAGAATATTCCGCAATATATTAAACCAATTGAAGCATGGTTTAATTTAAGATCGATAACTTATTGGATACACTAACCCAATGATTGCGAATCTGTGACTCTTGCGTCCTCAGTCCTGTGACTCCTCGGGAGTCCTCGACTCCTCGCCCTTCGAGAGTCGGGATTCCTGGCCCGCTGGCCGGGCGCTGCCACTGGTGCCCTGGCCCTGGATCCGCCTGTGGCCCCGCAAATCATGAACTCAAAACTTTCTATTATTTACGTTTGTCATTCAGTGTATACATTAAACGTATAAATAGTTGGGTTCAACTGTTTTGTTTATTATTATTTGTTTACATTGTTATAAAAAGCAGCCCATATATATAAGTTTTTGGGGTTTATAAAGGCCCATCTTCTTTTTTGTTTAAAAAAGATATATATAAAGCAATTTTTGTGCCAACCTCATTACAATTTACGTTGGCATATTAATAAACGCTTACTACGGTTTAGTCCTATGTGTACGATATTTGGGTTTTGAGGTGCAATATATTTTGGAGGACTATACACCCTCACATATTCTCTTGGTAGGTTCAATTGACAATTGGACCCATTTTACCCCACTTCTATATTTTAAACCTATTTGTTTTGAGAAAAAAAACAAGAACCCGATGTTTTTTTAAATTGGGTTTTTTTATCAAAAATATTTTTTTTAAATTCATGTAACCCCTCGGCCCCCCCACCCCCTCCCCAATAATTTGAGTCGGTCGATACGGCTATTAAAAATAAATGGGCCAAGCATTGCTCCGATCTATTTGCGTTCTGGTGAAATTTGAAAAGTGCGAGTCGGCATCTTTCAACTTGGCGCTGGTGTCTGGTCTGGTCGGTTTGAGCACATAAGTTGACATACATTGCTCTAGAGAAGTAGAGATATAAAGGTTCATTCATGCCAAAGCAGTAGTGAGACAAATGTATATGTACAATTTTGTATGCATGTAGATATTGGATTCGTATGGCTGTAATCTGAGCAAAAATGTTGTTGGTTTAATAATGTACTATAGATAGAAAGGGTTTTGTGCTATATTGCAGGTGGAAAACACAATAAAAATGTCTATTAGATGTTCTATCTTCCTGTTGGCCTAGCTCAGTTGGGCGGCTGTTACAAATGTTTTGCTTCCCAAAGTCCCAAACTGAAGACACACTAATCAGCTAAAAAAAAATCAGCTCGTTGGTAATCCAACGGGCGTACATACTTCACATGTACACGATAGCTCCGTATAAAAAATAGAAATATAGAATCACCGTTTACTATGAGGCCGTGTTGTATTAGACTATCTCATGCATAGCCCTCCAGATTGTATATATGTACCTATATATACACACACACACACACACATACACATACACATATACATATACATAGCATCCTAAGGTTAATACATGATATGTAAAAGAGCAAATACATCATGTGTTTGACAAAAAAAAACTTAAAAAGTTGTTGTGGTAGAGGGTGAGTCATGAGTGTCCAATTGGACTTTGGAAGGCTGGTATCTCATAGTAAAACATCGGTTGGGGAAATGGCGCTCTTTCCTTTGTGTTTGATTGGGTAAAAAAAATGGCGTTTTATTATGTCTATATACAAATCATCACTTTTCGAACCACTAAAATACATATTGTGGTTCACAACTTTACAGTCACTGATAGCACACTGTCTAGATATAGCACATACGAATCCACCTAAGTATTGCTGTCATAGTATAAGGACCATTATATAGTGTACAATAGTAAGTATTATAGATTTACCTAGGAGATCGGCATTTAGTTCTTCATGCCCGAGTTCTAATCGCTCATTTAAACCAGCCTACCCTCCGAGAGCATGTCAGTAGTAGTACAATTGAGTCCATTGTTATAATACTTGGACTCACTGTTTGAGTCACACTAACGAGATTCATCAATTCCTGCATTTGATAGTTGATTGGATCTGCAATGACTACGCCACTGTCCCTTGCGGTGAGTTATGTGTACTTCCTTATACTATAGATAGAAATCTGGCTCAGTTTGCGACAAGGTACCCGATTCCATGCGACAGATATTGTCTACCGATGTAACAGCTCGATCGATATCTATCTGGGCTTGAGTTAGTCCTCACATGATACTATA